GGTCTTACTGAGTACTTGCATGACCTCTCTGACAGCTGAGGACCTGGAAAGCTGCTCGGACCCCCAGCCTTCTCCTGATGATGGACGTCTGAACGGACATCTGAACAAAACAAGCACATTTATACAGATTAAGATGTTTTAACTAAAATATTTGGTTTCTTTACTAAATGATTTCTACAATTCATGAAGTCCAGGAAAAAGTTACTTTATCTTAAATACAGCTTCAATGTGTTTTCTTTATCTGTGATGATCAAAACATTTCCAACATGCTCTGTCCTGAACTCTGATACTTGTCCACTCCAGCAGATGGCAGTCCTGACTCATCAGTAGAAACAGCTGCCCCCCTCAGACCATACAGGTCCTTSTGCAGGTTCTGCTTCACAGAACCCTGTGATGTTTGATAATCTGGGATATTTCCTCTGTCTCAAGCAGCTGGTGTTTCCTTTTGAAACAAACGTACCACTGTGACATTTATTTCAGAGTAAAAATCAAGTCAGAGATACAGTAATTTCTCAGAGCGGGATTCATCTTAAATAAAAAAAAAATGGATAAAGCAACAGAACTTCAGCTGGAAAGAAGAGTGACATTAATTTAGTTTTAAATCTTCARCTCACAGCTGGAGCTAAAATCAAGACATTATATAAAAACAGTAAAGAGATCTAACTCAAACCAATTCAACCCAGTGATACGACAGACTTTTCCTGTCCTCAACATGTGATTCCTCTCTGRACACTATTCTTCTTCCGGCACCTGTTGCTTCAGGAATTTTGAGATCTCTATCAAATAYATCTGTAAGTCCTGAGGAATGTTACTCAGCCTGTGAAACAACTTGTCCACCTAGAAGTGTCTGAAATGTTTCTTGCTAATGTCACCGGACTCTGTGACCAGGACAGCCTGAGTACGCACTGTGGTCAGAAAACAAGTGAATTCAACAGAAAGTTCAGAGGGTGGTCGTGTTTTTTTGTAACGGAGGGTGTTTTTATTTAAAAAGGAACTGGCGTAGAAGATTAAAGAAACTGTGACTTTGTTGAGTCAGGTCTCGTTGTTTTTCCACCACATTCGGACAGAAAATCAAGAAGCAGCAGATGATGATTCATGACACTTGGGTTTTTCACAGTTTGAATCAGGGCTTGAGTTGCTCGAAATAAACTGTGCCTTTCTTTTCTCAATGTGTGTACACACAGGTCACTGATTTGTCAGACCTTATAAGCGCAAAATTGCAAATCCTTTTTGTGTGAAGCCATTTTAAGACAACTCCTAGCTACTGCCCGGGCTCGGTTCTTCACGTTCCAACACATCAGGGTTACACCCACATTTCTATCTGGGAACAGCAACCACAGTTAGTTTAGGGGAAAAAAACACCATCTAATGCTTAAAAAATTAAAAACCACGTTGCTAAAAAACACTTTATTGTTTCAGAATTGGGTCGGATCAACAGCCACAGTAATATTTCAGTCAAATATCCTTCATTCCACACTGAGGCATGTTTATGATGTGTGACAAACACAAGATAATTGTTCAGCCACAGGGATTACTGGTCATTAAAACAAGACTGCTGAGTCATAATTCCAACATTTCATACAGTCACTCACCAGTAAATATCCTCTGAACTGGTTGTAGATGATGGCGGTCAGCAGGTTCATCAGACAGTAGGTTCCTGTCAGGAAGGACATCATACGTTAGTACTTTCACAGACTTTGTAGAATAAAACCCACACCCACACCTGCTTACCGATGACACTGAAGGTGATAAAGAAAATGGCGTAGCCTCTGTTAAGGGAATAGGCAGGGATCATCACTGGGACAAAGAACACAACAAATTATAGTTAAGCTGTGCGTGAGCATGGCTTCTTCATCATCTGACTGGTCGTGTACCATCGGGGTTGTTGGCTGTGGTCAGCAGCACCAGCAGAGAGGTTAGAGAACTGGGCATGTCCCTGAAATGTAACTCCCACTCCCCGTTTTTCTTGGAATCCTAAACAGACGCACACAAAGTTAAGGAGGGATTAGGTTCTCCAATGTGCTKCAAGCAACTTAATGTCCAAGTAGCTTTTTCACAATCCACAGTATGTTTGATTCATTACCTTATCAATGATCATTTAGACATTTTTAAATGTTTTTTTTTTTGCATTCTGAGTTGAGTGCCAGAGTTGCAGCTGTGGTTTATGACGTGTCCACAACTACACGAGTGTGACCWCAAAGGCTTGAACTCACTTCAGTTTTGGCGAACAGCAGCATGCCGATCATGGTGAAGAGGCAGAGGTGTAGAGCCAGCAGCAGTATAACACTGTAACGACAGGAAAACATGTAGACACACTCAGACTGCRGCTGAAAACTCCTCCTCCTTTACCTGTAATCTACTCTGTCAAACTCATGATCAGTGTTTAAAAATATATATATTTGATAAGTACTTCAAACCTTTATTCACTTTAAATCACAGTCCAGCATGGAGTGATGTGAATGAAATATAATTAAATATCACTGTGAACGCTGAACGATATCAAGATATCAAAAGRTTTGTCTCAATAAGGAATAATGGGTTATTTTTGTAACTTTTATTCTTTTTGTTCTATTTAACTTCATATACAAAGAAATCCTCACAGAAATACATTGAGATACCTTTAGTTCCCTAAAACTTTATTCACTGTAACCAAAATTATACTACATTTAACTTTAAGCTACTGTTTTGCTAATTTTAGCTTTTAGCTCAAAATTTGCCACAATTAGCTTTGAGCTACAGTTTTGCAAAGTTTAGCTTTTAGCAATTTTTCACTGTTTGTAACTATAAGCTACTGTTTTGCTATTTGTAGCTTTTAGCTCAAAATTTTTCTTATTTTGCTTAATGTAATTTTAATTTAGCTAAAATTGGTTTTAGTTAAAAATTGACTGACTTTAGTTTTTGTTCTTGCTTTGGTTTTAACACTTTATTCTTCAGTTCAGCAGTGATTCAACATTCACAAGCGTCCACGTGAAGACCCATGTTAATAATTATTTATATTCAAGAGAATAAAACATATGTAGTAAACTTTACACTGTAATGTTTTAAACTAGAGTTACTTGGAGGTGCTAAATGTGTCTCGAAGTGTCTGATGCTGCAGATGTCAACATTAACGTGCCCACATTTTGAGGAAGCACCAACCGACTCACAGAAGTGAGAAAACTGTTAAGTCTTTGTTACGTTTTAATTTGGTAAGTAGCGACATAATATCAGTAACTTTCTTTTATGATAAACAACTCTCTTGTAATTGTATTATTAAAATTYTAGCGTTGTAGTCCATAAATATGCATGTCTTGATTGTCACCGTGTGTAAAAGATTCCTGTACCTGGCAATCTCAGGCAGAGTCCTCTTGATGCACTTCAGTGTCTTTTTCATCAGAGAGGAGTTCTGCAGCAAAAAGAACGGCCGCAGAAGCCGCCGTACCCTCAGTTTCTGATTAATAAAACAAAACAAAACAGATTCATCATAAAATTCAGGCCTCTTTTAGAGTGCGTAGTACAGACTCACCAGTAACCTGCAATTTTTCAATCACAACTATTAACACAAATCCCCCCCAAAATGTTGCAACTTTTCTGCAAAATTCATAAATCATCTTATTCTTATATATTTTTCACTTCCAGGAGTCCTGAGACCAGAAGATGAAAAATATCCGACCTTGAAGAACAAATCAAATGTATTTATAAGATATTTAAAAACAACTGCTGCTGGAAAAAGTGCTCACACTAAAGCGACTAATTATAACAATAATTCAAAACAATTAAAAACATGACAAGACAAAATAAAACATTAAATGGAACCAAACAGGTCAACTCTTACGTTGTATTAAAAACCAATGAGTACAAATATGTTTTAAGAATACACTTAAAAACACTAAGAATTGATACTGAAAGAAAGAGAGAAAGAAACACTCTGATTGATGTAATTRTGCGACAAAAATCACATAATTTTGTTCTCAGAGCTTCATTCTCAATACAAGACTCCTCAGACAGCAGTAGGGCCATTTTGCTTCAGCTACTCGTCTTCCTGAAGTCATCTGTTGTCAAGCAGCATGGATGATTTGTCTGAGGCGGTCCGAAAGAACGATTATGTAGATGTCTCTTTCAGACAAACTTATAAAGTTAGTCAAATGGCCAAAGACTCCTGAATTTAGACAGCGTAGAYGCTGTGCACAGAGAAGTCAGTTTGTTGAAAAGTCTGGCACTCTGTCTGTGACAGGTTTGTGGCCAAACAGTGGGTGCAGGGACAGAGTGGAGACCCCAGTGGGAAGAAGCTTTGAGGTGTGCAGCAGTAAGAGGTTTTTTTTGAAAACAAACATCCTGCAACCATATGACMGCGAATCAACTGTTCAACTTCAGATGTAGTTTGACACGACCTTTAGTTTAGAACGTCTTCACTGATAGCCTTATTGGTTACAGGTCCTTTGACTCACAMAATAAAGATGAGGCTCAGATAAATGAAGTATCAGGCTACAGTCCATACAGCCGGATCAATGGCCCTCATGGAAGAACCGTTCATAGGAACGGATTTGATCTTAAGTTGTGCGTATGAGTGATTTAGGAGAATTTGTGGCATTCACAATTTTCTCGTAWTCTAAGATTTTTTTTTCAGATATGAACAAAATTCACGAGTGGTCCAGACCTGTCGTATATTTTACATGCAGTCAGTCTGCTGTTATCCAGATTTTTCTCAGTAATAACTTCATATTTCATTAGTTTGAAGATATTTTGAGTTGAAAATAAATCACACTCCATAATTATGTTGACAATAGGTTATTCTGTTTGAATTGTAATTGTAATTTTTAATGTAACTAACAACACAAAATTGATTAGATTAAGTTCAATTGGCTTTTAATGCTCTTGTATAACACTACAATATTAATATGAAGATCTCAAACTAAAAAGTAATTTAAATTATGCATTAATTGAAGTTTGGAGACATTTTAAAATGCATCTTTTCAGAACCGCATCTGAAATTTGCGACAGTCGGGAGTGGGAAGACGAGATGAATATGATTTAGATTTTTACTTCTGTGTCTGTATACGACCCACAAGATACACAACATTAACAGCAGTCATTTCATTCCTTGGCTTTAGCAGGTCTGACGCTAACCTTATATGGTGCTTTTGGRGTGGTAGRTCATACTAATCACCTCTCCTCATGCACGAGCACCTGATACCCATTCATCAGTTTACGCTCCTCATTTACACACTTTTCCTGAAGATAGAAGAGTTTGTTGAATCTGACGTGACATGTTTGTACGAACCCTTTGTACGAACAAATGTAAGAGAAATTTAGGATAAGAATACGAACATGTTCTTGCATGAGGCCCAGTGGGTTTGCTGGAAATAAAAAGTCAAGAGATCTACTGTTTGACAGTGACCAGGGACGAGCTTTACCTCATCACACAGCATGCTGATAGACAACATCCAGTCGATGACGGAGACACAAATGACGATGGTGAAGCTGATCAGCCATTTGCTTTTCCTGAACTCCTCCCAGCCGATCAAGTAGCTCTGAAAACAGAGAGAAAGGAAGCGGCGATAGTTTCTTGAACAAATGACAGTTTCTGTCCAACATCTCGAGCCCAAAGCATTTTCGCATTGCTTCTGTTCACCTTGAYGGCAAGATCAAGAGTGAAGACGATGAGGCAGATCATCTCAATGGTTTCGGTGAAACCGCAGGGGGGCTCCCAGGCCACAGATCTGTGGCGGGGGTCTGAAGAGATGGACAGAGACGACGGACGCTCCACAAAGGCCAGCAGCAACACGACTGCTATGATGATCCCCAAGAGCCTGGGGCAAAGAAAGACAGGGAGGGAGTGGATCAGTTCATCCAGTCTTGGTCCTTTTTCTAAATGATAGCTTCTCTGAGCTTTTCACAACAATTACATCTACTGCTCGATGAAAGAGTTGGAACACAAAGCATCGCCCCCTAAATATACTTTAAATTTTAAAGCATTCTGACTACAAGGGCTGTCTTTTTGTTTGTTTGAGTAAGGAGCAAAGAGTCCCAAAGAACCAACTGTGCAGTAAATCTGAATTAGAGGTCAGAGGTCTTATTTCCTTTTATTGGCATCGCCTCTGCACAAATATGTACAGCTTTTCTAGAAATTATTAAATAAATAATAACAAATAAATTATTACTTTTTAAATTAAAGTTAAATAACACCTGGAAAAGTGCTGTGAACCATCGTAAGAACAAATCGGTCATATGGTCAATTTATTAGGAGTTGTCTCATTCATTTTGTTTTTCCCATTTCTAAACACCTTCACCTTGGTAATTACTAAAACCTAAAAACATGGAACGCTCTCCATAAATGCTGCAGCCTGAGCAGCTGCTACGTACCACTGGCATATCCTGGAGTAGTACCATCGGTACAGGCGGAGAGACTGAGCGTCCACCCGGTGGTTGATGGACCGGTACTGCAGACAGGCAGGATTTGTTACTAATACAACATTTTTATTTAATCAGTAGGAAAAACAAAACAAAAAAGTAAGCTAATACTTTCTGCACTCACATGGACGGCATCCTCAATGAACACAACTGCTTGTTGAATGTAGAGGCTGGCGTCATCTGTGGAGACAAAAGACACAGACCGGATCATTACAGGATGCAGGGATTTCCCATCATGCATAGAGCAACGCGTTACTGATAACCAGAGCTGAACTGTCTGATTGTTTGAGMGTCTGAGGACCTGAGTGAACAGAGTAAACATTTTACACCTAGCCAGAAAAAAAGGTCTAAGGTTTTACCAGCCTTAAAGGTAGCGATGCTAAAGGTTCGAAGTGTTTCAGCTGGGTTTAGTCAATCTTTTCCAAACAGAGATTGTTCAAGKTTATAAATAATGAAGAAAATGCTTCAACAGTGGTGAAATCAGATATATAATAATGCACACTATTATCAGCATGTCCTCAGTTTGTCTGAATAAATGAAAGATGAAAACACTGACATGCAGGCCAGCTTAAATTTGTCCTGGCTGAGTCGGATTTTGTGATTGAGAAGTCAAATTTTCCAAGCATGGTTAAGGTGGATGAAGT